TGCAAAGAGGGTACCGTTTCAGCAGATTTCGCAAAGAGGGTACCGATATGGATATGCACCGTGAGTTAGGTGTTGTGCTTGTTTCACTTAGCATTGCTAGCAAGTGAAAGATCGCTTGAGGTATATAAATTGTTCAACTACTGCTGAAAATATATTCTGGTCAAAGTTATCCTAAAAAGTGGCTTTCATAAATAAATTGATAACACACAAGAACTGTAACATTAGGTTATGCTTTCGTTGCATTTATAATTAATATCTTTATCCTCAACTCAGTTTTTAAACATTCTTTGATATACATCATATTACATAACATATAGACGATACTCATCCTGAAGCATGCAAGTTATAGTTATACCTTTTGTTCGATGTGTTAACATGTGCAAAATATAAACAACATATTTTGTTTTGCAAACAGACAGCATGAAGCTCGTAAACAACTTAAGTTGCCTTAACGAGTAAATCATGTTTTCTGCGTCCAATATTTGGGATAGATCAATATAATTATTGAACTTCTTAGACTTGCTTGAATAGATATAGATATACATGTACATGTTAAGTTTACCAAAGTAACTTGGTGTAGATTAAGTTTTAAGTGGTTGAATATGGATAAATATTGATAATAAGATGAAAAAGTAGTTATAACTAATTTATGTTATTATGTAATAAAACGTTTTATGCATCCAGTTTAACATTTAATAAGAGGTCGATATTATAACATGCACTGATAATGTAATATTATTTTACCTTTAAATCTGTCACTATATTGAGAAGTTTCATAAACAACTTCTGTTGCGTTATAACGGTGTCCCGTTAGAGCGTCATGACACGCATAACTCTAAACAACGAGAACACGATGGTGGAAAGTCGAAACAATAAAACCTCGATGGTGAAAAGTCGGAGGTAGGATGATGAAAAGTCAAAAGTACGGAATAACGAAACCACGATGATAAAAAAATAATTTTTTTTTTGTTTTCACCTCAGTACCTTCGACCTTTTACCATCGAGGTTTCGTTATTTCGATTTTCACCATCGCAGCTGACAAGTATGACCGTACCATAACAAAATTATCTGACCACAGTTATTTATGATGGACTAAATTTGACTAGATGTTTTAAAGTTGTTATAGCTTTACATCCTAAAAAAAGATGAAATCTGTCAGCATATTGGCATATCTCGTAAACAACTTCTGTTGCGTGATAGTGTCCTTCTAGTTGTCTTTGTATCCTATTTAGAATAAATAAAAGTACAAACAGCCTTGTCAATATTTACCTTCTCGAACTTGCTAATAGATGAAGTTCATAGTGGCTTCATTTAAGATGATTAAATTACATGTATTTTATTATTATTTCTACAACATAATGACAAAATATATAGACGTTGACAAAGTGTCCAGAGATGATAAGTGTGTACCAAATTATTTTTTCTAGACTAGATACCAAAAGTAAATAATAGATTAAAATGGTTAAAGAGAAATGTATGTGTATGATATACTTGTCCTAACATCTAGATCAAATATGTGTTTGAGATCAATATATGAACATGCAGATAGATACTGATGTTTAATGTTCACCTTATTTCACTTAGAAAAAACTGTCACAATATCGCGGCCTTCATATACAACTTCTGTTTCTTTTTTGTCTCCAACAAGTGGTCCAACAAGCACGTAATATCTTAAATACGACTTTGTCAATATCAAACGTTTTGTATTTGCAAACAGATGTAAAGTGACTTAATAGTTACTAAAGTATTTCTTAGTAAGCTAAAATGTTTATTAAATTACATAGCTATTGATAGGGGAGGTCATAAAATGTAAAGAGATAAGTTGATAACATGGGCTATAAGTAACCATATCACTATAACTATATAGGTTCAAGGCACTGAATTATGTACAAAGCTGCTTGATATTCAGTGAAGCAATACCATGTGACCGTGACGCTATTTTCGACATCATTGCCAAGACAATAAATGCTCGCTTCGAAAAATAGATAGCCTAAGTACTTTATTTCTGCATCAATATCTTTGGGATGTGCGCCTGTCTACGGGAGAAAATATAATTTTTCAAAGAATGGTGGATCTCCTATAGAATATGTACCAGTTTATCAAACACTTTGTTAAACCTTGGAAATAGTCTATGTAAGAGCTAACGTTAGTTTTCTGCTACTTTGTTTTCATGCTTTAGTTCATGCTTTAGCTCAGACATGCTTAAAAAGTCAGATTTGCATCAACTGGGAGTACTGAAGACAAAATCCTTCTTACATATTTCATATTGTTATCATTTTTGGCGTACACCTTACTGTTTACTCCATGTGTCAATTGTGGCACCAGTAGCAAGTCGAAAAATTCGGACTACAATTCAAAGCTTTTTAAAAATTGTTTTTGAAAATGCCAAGCAACATGCTTCCTGTTCTCTTTTTATAATCATGTTAACCATGAAAAACATTTTTATTTGCTATACAAGATATATTCAATAAAGCATGCAAAAATGATTTTCACTCGCTGCGCTATAAGTTATTTTGAAAATCGTAAAATTGGTGTATGTATAGAAATTTATTTGCTCTTTCAAAGTAATGATCGTGAAAACTCTTTTAGTTTTATTAAGCAATACCACTAGTGAACTTCAAAATAGAGATAAAAACAGAATCCTGAATGAACGCCAAATTTGAAAATGTTGCAGGCTCGGTTTGACTAAGCCTGTTCATGAACGGTACTGGAAGATACAAGCTACTGTCCATGCCTCCTTGAACCTTGTCTTCATATCTTTTACAGTAAATGTGTTTTATTCTTTTTTAGAATGGCTGAGATCAATGAGAAATATATGTGCTCTCAGTGCGGGAAAAAAGTCGGAGAACTCATGAACGTTAACATTCAAGAATGAAGTCTTCCATTTGTATGCTGTACCAAAGATAATTATTTTAGTTACTTATATATATAATCACACATATACTAGGTAAATAACCTGAACCAATGTATATCTTAGTATGATAGATTCAGCTTTTTAACACACTGACACTCTTTGATTAAGATGATTTTACACCCTAGGGGACCCCTTTTTACGTGAATGGTAAGACTTTGTTTCCGTCAGCACACTATACAAAATTCATTGTGTTATTACTGTTGATTTACTGCATATCTAATAAATTAATCTTTATAAGACACCAAGATTTTTCAAACACCTCTTCAATACAAATTGAAATGGTGTGCATAATCTACATACTGTCATCTATCAATATTTCAAGTTTCATAAAAAATTGTCAGTACCTTTTGTGGTATCACAAATTTTGTTATTATATTTGCCATACTTTAAGTCTACATGTTGCCATAGCAAGCCAAGCTTTTCAACATAGGAACAAAGAAAATAATCTGTATAATCTACAGACTGCCATCTCTCATGTTTTAAGTTTCATAAAAATATTTTTAGTACTTTGTGCGTTATAACGGGATCCAGTTTTTGTATTATAATTACCATATTGTAAGTCTATTTGTTTTCATAACAATCAAATGTTTCAAACTAGGAAGAAAACAAAAACAGACGTGCATAATCTCTAGATTGCCGTCTACCCATATCGCATGTTTCATAAAAATATGTTCAGCACTTTTTGCATAATCATGGGATCAAGCTTTTTGGAACAAACATACTACAGAGGGTAAACCTTAAGTCCCCTCCGGTTAAACCGATAGGGGACAAAGAGCTGGTAACAGTAATATTTTCAAAACGCTCATTGTCATGGTAACATGATCAATGCTTCACGCACAAGTTTGATTTCATTACAACAGCTTCACCAGTTACATGTTGCTTAAACGCAGATTTAGGTAACATCTTGAACTCTTCATCAACGGGACATCATAAGATACAGATATAAATACATCAGGTTAGATGTTGGATAATTACCAAAATGGTTTATAGATGCTTCAAACATAGCTATTATGACCTCCCCTGGCCTCCATTTTTGGGATAATTTCCATTATAGCATGTGCTTAAGATATTAAACTCTCATAATTCTATCATCTTCATGACAACTACTAAACATCTTTTACAAATTGATGCTATACTTATATTTTGCTGCATAGTACAAAATAATTTGACAGCTGTTCATTTTTTCAATAGTTTGTCAAATATATTATACAGAATATTGACCCCCAAAATGGCTATCACTTTTGACAAGCGAGGTAAAAATTGTAAAAATTCGAGAAAATGGCTGCCATATTTGGAAAGGGAGGCAAAAATTCTATAAGTCGGACCTATCTTTTGTTGGCTAAAATGCATCTACATACAAAGATTGTGAAGTGAATCATAAAGGACCAAAAATGCGAAATAATGATGACAACTGAACTTTTTCATTTAAACATCATATTTCAATTATCATTCATGACTTTCTCATATTGGTTTGTTTATTTTGACACTCGAGCAGATTCATATGACTGCTTTATCTTTGAATTTTATTGAAATTTACAGGGAGCTTAGAGATATAATTATACTATCATATAACCGATACAGTTTTATCTCTTTTCTTTAGTCTGCTTTTACGACATATAAAGATATGCTTCTGTTCTTCATTTCAACGCATCTATATCCATTTGTTTTGACCCCAGTTTCGATTTCGGTCTACTGTGTGCCCGTTGCCTTTTGACTTTTCCAAGGATGTCTTACTTTATCAAGAGACATAAAAGAGAAATTCTGGATAGTATGTCCTTGAGTATTGAAATGTTCAGAAACATTTGTAGTTTGCTCAAATTTGAAAATATTGAAAGAACTGGGACACTGGCGGTCTTGGTAGTAGATAAGCGTAGTAGTCTTAATTCTTCATCATGTGACCATTGAAATAAAGATCGAGGTAGTCCGTTCTTTAAATATGGTCTTCATAGCGGGGTAGTCTTGATTCTTGATCATGTGACCATTTAAATAAAGATCAAAATAGTCCGTTCTTTAAATATGGTCTTCATAACGGGATGGTCTTAAAAAGGGATTCTACTGTATTCATAAGAAACATGTGTTTTAAATCAAATATGAATAAGACATAATATTTGCTCATATAATTGTTTATTTTAACTTAGTATAAAATTTCTCAAGCAAAGCTATTGTCCATTTCTCATTTGCAATACGCCTTCCATTTTTTTCATGCACTTCGTCTGTCTGAAACAGCAAAAGAATCAAAAGTTATTTCTGAAATGAAACTATAAAATTACACCTGAAAATACTGAGATTAGACATAAATCAACGCCATTGGATCTAAAAGAACATTACTGTAGTGTATAAGTTATAAAAAAACTGAATCAACTTTTACTTTTGAAACGAAACAGAACAGTTTACATAATTATGTCAATAAGAACCATTTTCCTTAACGGGCGAACACCTTTAGACATTATCTACTATTTGAGAATATAATAAACGGTAAATGATAAACAGAATGAAAAATGTTTCTAATAAAAGCATATGACAAATGATTACTTTGTTATATTCTCTGTCGTTCATGTTCCTCCTCTTTTTGAGATATCCTGGGAGCATGTGCTGGAGCAGGAGCAATAGCAGGAGAAATAGCAGGAGCAAGTTCCTCTGGGGCAGGTTCTTTGGGCTTGGCTTCTTCTATGGAAGCTTAGAATAAAAAAATATTCAGAGTGAATTTTCAGCAATGTTCTTAATATTTGAGTGCAAGAGAGATATGTTAATTAAATGATACCTTTATAACGGAATGATTAACATTTATCTCCAGAGAAACTCATGTTAAGAGAAGACAGAGTTATAAACTACAAAGCGTTAGTGTACAGTCTTAAAAGTTTGCAAATTCACATTTTAACTATTCTACAAAGATGTTGAATATCCAAATACACAACGGCTTGATCAAACAGTTAAAAGAATAAGTTACAAAAATAGTATAGATAATTAATCCGACTTCAAAGCCGAATAAAATCTTTATTTCGACACCCCCAATACAGTTAATACAATCAAATTTTATCACTCTTGATAATTTTATTTATAAACTAAAGAGTTCCATTTTTACTCAATATAAAGCAAAAGTGCAAATGTTTTCAGTTGCTGGCATATAAACCAGGACGAGTTTTAAATGTTTTGTTTTTGTTCAAATAAGAATATGACTTGCCAGAATACATTCCCTCGGATTAACATTTGAATTGTCAAACGAAATAAAACTTTAATTCTCAAGCATCTTCAAATCGTTTAATGAAACATTAAATCAATCAATAAATGACATTATTATTGAAAATTGTTGTGATTTAAACATGATTGTATTAAAATAAATACCAAATAAACAACTCACCCGCTTCCAACTCGAAGACAGTTGCCATGAAGCATATTCCTAGAATCACACATACAAGTTTGCAGCCCATTGTTGTAGTTATTTAGAAGACAACTCTTCTGTAATAAATATATCTTAAAAGTCGCTGTATTTATACAAGTTTCGGACAATTAAATTTGAGTGACATCTGAAGCAAAGTACAAATAATATAAAAATACGATGTCTTGTTCTAGGACAGTGCATGTGCATATTGCATATTTCATCATCATAAACCAATTAAAAGACAATAACAATGATCCGGAAAGTTATGAAACAATGTACCAACTGTCACATCATAATCACCAGCTTAAAGTACATATGTGTTTTAATTTATAACTTAAAGATAGCTCAAATCTGCAATTGCATACGAAGGACATCGAATTTTTTTTCCATAATTTGACTCTCTGTCTTTTAAATGAGCGCATTGGCGCGATTATTCGTAATGTTCTTTAAAATGTAAAAGACTGAAACTACAATGGACTAATTTGACTCTTGTTAAAGGGTATACATCTATATCTTATGAAATATTTTTACAGAAAATTCATATTGTTTCCCTTACTATATTGTTAATTACCCAAAAAGTGTTGTTACATATAATGTCTATGTTATCTAATACACATGAATAATGTACTTAAACAGAATAAAATGTTCCGGAACAAAAAATTATTTTGATATTTTAAGAAGGGTCTTATTTTATTTTTGTACGTTATCACAAAGGAAGTTTTTGTGAAAAATAATTTTAAAATTGAATCAGTGGTTTAGGTGTTGTTCAGATGTTGTTGTTTTCTAATTTTATGCAAAACATCTCTCTAGTTCTTTTGTATTTTCACGAAAAGATTTTTTAAGTTTTTACAATATACATGTATATGATCGGAAAACCAATGACCACCTGGGGCGGGGACAATTTTGGCCCTAGGGCTTTTATTTAAACAAACTTGATAAACATCCACTAGAAGGTGTTTCATGCCAAATATTAAATATATTAGTGCCTTTGGATTGTCACAAGAAATTTTTTAAGTGTTTTCTATATACATATAAGGAAAATCAATGACCCCCTTGGGCGGGCCAATTTTGAACCTAGGGGTTTTATTTCAAGAAAAATGGTTGACATCCATGTTTCATGCCAAATATCTTAGCTTTAGCTCTTTCGAGTTTTTTTACAAGAAGATTTTTTGCGGGGCTATAGAGGGGTTTGATTGATTAAATCTTAAGTTCAAAAAGTCAAAAATACGGAATAACGAAATAATTTCGTGTTTTCAACAAAGTACTTTCGACCTTTTACCATTGCAGTTTCGTTATTTCGTCGTATTGCTGTACCATAACAAAAAAATATCTGACCGAAGTTATTTATGTGGTACCAATACCAGATTTGATTAGATGTTTTAAAGTTGTTATGGCTTTACATCCTAAAAATAGATATGTACCTTATGGATTCTATAACACGACCTGAACTTTTGTAAAATAAGAGAAGCAAGACATGTCTTAACGATGATTTGTCTTCGAACACAATAGCTACGGGAAAATGGCTTTATATTGACAGAAATATATATGCATACCAAAGTAATTTTAATATGTATATCAATGTAGCTTAATTTAAACCCCAACTGAAAGTGATTAAATATTCATCTAAATTTAGTTCGTTTAGGTCGTAAATCAACATGCAGAAAGATACTGATGTTTAAGGTTCATCTTATTTTACCTTGAAAATTGTCACCATTTTGACATGTCGCGTAAACAACTTCTGTTGCATGATAGTGTCCTTTTATTTGTCTTTGTGCCCTTTTAAGAATACATGTATATCAAAGTACACACAGCCTTGTCAATATTTACCTTCTCGAACTTGCTAATAGATGAAGATCATAGTGGCTTCATTTAGGTTGATTAAAGTACATGTATTTTATGTCTACTAAACGGCAACATAATGACAAAATATATAGGCGTTGACAAAGTGATCAGAGATGATAAGTGTGTACCAAATTATTTTTTCTAGACTAGATACCAAAAAGTAAATAATAGATAAAAATGATTAAATAGAAATGGATATGCATGATAAAATTGTATTAATTAACATCTATATTAAACCTGTGTTTTAGATCAATACATGAACATGCACAAATTTACTGATGTTTTAAAGTTCACCTTATTTCACTTTGAAAACTGTCATCATATTGAGACATTGATGTCTTTTTGTGTCCAACAAGTTGTCCAACAATCATTTAATATCTTAAAATAGAGCCTTGTCATTATTAAACTTCTTGTACTTGCAAACAGATGTAAATCAAAGTGAATAAATAGGTATTAACCTTGTACAATTTGTTTTAGTATTTTGATGGGGCCAAATCAGTTACTTAATAATAAAAATAGCGTGAATAATAGCGTTAAGAAGCGAGAAGAAGTTGTTTTGACTTCACAGGACATCATACAATATGTTTAGATATATGTTTTCATGTGTATAGATTAAAATCAAAAGTACATTTTGTAAATTTATATGTGAATCTATGGTTTTAATACCTTATCTGTTGAGTAACACTTTGCAAAGCAATATACTTATAACATAATATAAATATGGTTGTTTTATGTTTGTGAACATACGTTCGAATATCTTTTAATTATTCTAGGAAACTTGTAATGTACTGAAAAGTCTCGTTAACTTATGTCACTTCAATATACATGTACAAAGGTAGTGGCCATATGTTACCCATACATGTTTTATTGACAAACGCCATTCTGGCGTGTCTAGCATTACCTCACTTTAACATAAATGTATAGACAACAACTTAAAGCCATGACTATTATCAAAATGCGAAACAAAATTTTGTTATCTCGATAAGCAAATAAATTGTACTGTTAGTGGGACGGGTATACCAGCCTAGTAGTTAGCGAAAGGGTACTCTATGCAACTTGTTAACTTAATTAGTAATTGAGTTTTAAAGTGACCTACATACCCTTCATATTATACTACATATACTACTACATAATCTGAGTAGTCTTTGCCGCGTCGAGATAAAATATATCGACAAAGACATAATGTGCTTCATCTTAAATACACTTGCAATTACGCATACTCCCAAAATAAAAAACGATTTAACAAACTTTTGTTGTTTTAAATGTTGTATACTAGTCTGTGAAGAAAATAATCTTGTAGGTAATGATAATTAAGAATCGTTAATCATTTGCAATTTTGCTAGTGTATCAAGAATCAAATTTTGTAACAGATTGTGTACTTTTAATTTACATTTAAACGAAAAGTAAAGACAAATGATGGATTGGCAATTTAAAAGAGAAATACACCATAACATTTATAGCAATGTTACAAAGACATAACGACAGATCGCTGACATTCCTACTTAATGCTATGGCATAATGACAACAAAAGTGGTACACATTATCAAAAGGTGCCCGTCATACAAATTTTTGTCTGTATCTGAACAGTCCCATTGTATTATATGTGCCTTCGGTGCCAAAATTGGTGTTCCTCCCAATTCGATAGCTTTTCTAAACAACTTGCTACCAGAAAGGAAGCTGATCACCACAGCATCTTGTCGGGTACTAAGCTATTTGACAGAAAACCCTCTTTTACTGCGAGAGAACATTTTATGCAATTAAACAATTTATAGCAGACGACAATCTGCCAAGCATATGTTTTGTAAACTGGTGGTTTTAAAAAAACCCAGTGAAGAACCTTGAAAGATTATATCATTTTACATGCTAGCTGGCTTTTTACCGTTTGGATTATTCTGCTTTATCATGTGATTCAAATATTTAAAAACTTGTTGTTGTTTGGTAATGTGGTCTTACTATAATTGTACTGACAACTGTTGTGAAAATTAGTTTTCTTAAGTAAAAACCCTCAATAAAGACCACCACCGGGCTGGATCAAAGGGGTATTTATGGCGGGTGGTCTCATTTGTGGATATTCTTATCATTGCTTGTATTTAAACAGGCAAATACAAAATTAAAGTATATTATAATATTTAAACTGATGTGAGGACAACATATTCTCGTTGAAATTTAATATTAAATTCCCTTGGGTTTGATTTCAATATTAATTATTATCTGATGTACTTATTTCACATTTCAAATAAAAAATTATTATGATCAATTTTGAAAATATTGAAAAAAAGAACTGGGACTGAATATGGTGGTCTTGAAAGTGGTAAGCGGGGTGTTCTTAATTCTTGATCATGTGGCCATTGAAATAAAGATTAGAATAGTCCGTTCTTTAGAAATTGTCTTCCCTAATTCCGGGATGGTCTTAAGTAGGGATTCTACTGTATTTATAAGAATGTTTTTCAAATAAAATAAGAATAAGACATAATAATTGCGGATATAATTGTTTATTTAACTCAGCATATGATTTTCAAGCAAAGCTATTGTCCATTTTTCATTTACAATACGCATTCTGTTTCTTTTTCATTCGATTTGTCTGTCTGAAACAGCAAAAGAATTGAAAGTAATTTCTGATATGAAACTATAAAAACACAACTGAAAATACTAAGATTAATCAACGCCATTGTATATAAAAGAACATTACTGTCATGTATGAGGTATATAAAAACTTAATCTTAGCAGTTTCTTTTTTTATTTTAGAAACGAAACAGAACAGTTTACATATGTCAATAGGAATCATTTTCCTTAACGGGCGAACACATTCAGACATTATTCTACTATTTTAGAACATAATAAACGTTAAAGGATAAACGGAATGAATAATGTTTCAAATAAAAGCACACAACAAATGATTACTTTGTTATTCTTTCTGTCGTTCATGTTCGTCTTATTTCGAGATGGTTTTATTCCCTGTCGAGAGTGTTTCATTTCCTGTTGGGAAGGCTACATTGATGGAGCTGAGTGTTTCATTCCCTGTTGAGAGGGTTTCATTCATTGTTGAGATGCTTTCAATCTCGGAAGCTCATGGCGCAGCAGCAGAGGAAGCTTTCTCTTGGGCTTTGGCTTTCTCCTTTTGTGCTAAGGCAGGATGGCTGGGCTTGGCTTTCTCTAAGGAAGCTAAGAATGTAAAATAATCAGTGTGGAATTTCAGCAATGGTCATTAAGTAATCTTCAAAGATGCTGAATATGCAAATACACAACTACATGATGAAACAGTTTAAAGGTTTAATTATAAAATAT